CATGTTATTCTTTTTACTTTATTTTATGATATACAAGAGCTTTCTCAATCGAGTCAAGCCAAGCCAGGCCGGGCCTATACTTCTAAATCACAAAGCGATTCTTCCACAACACGCGGGCCGGCCACTGGGCCAAGCTGAGCTCCAAGTTGATGAGCGAGCTTCTAGTAAATGCAGAATTTATGTTGAACGATGTAGAATAATTAGGTACATTATTTGACACTTGTGGAACAATAGTTGTCTCCACCTGCTATAATTTCAACAAGCATACATGGAAATAATTAAAACAATATTAGCCAAATTAATCTGTAGTTTCAAAGAATTAATTTAACTACTCAGAGCAACTCCAACGAATCTGCAAACGCAAAAGCATGAAAATAAAATAATATTAATATCGTACCGTGTAGTTTCTATTTTTGTCTGCAACTTTTAAGCGAAGAAAATATTTTTGAGCATGGCTTGCCACTTGTGTAGGAGTTCTTGTGGTTACAAATTCCCTTGAGATCCCTCTCCAATCTCCTTTACCAAGCTTCTCAAGCCCCAATAGGAAGTGCTTGTGCTCCTCTTCACTCCATGGCACACCTTTTATCAAGCAATTAAACAAATTAATACCCATATATAGCCTCTCAATATTAACATTAACTAAGTCATTTATTATTATAAACTATTATTTTGATATTTATACATAAGTGAAATTAACAGCGAATACATATCTAAGAAGTAAATTAGAATACCTTTTTTTCGATGACCTTGAGCTTTTTCGATCACGAGCGAACCATGAGAGTATGTGCATGTTTTCTTGATTCCATGATGAGAAATGTCATGATCTTTATTATTATTACTTGAAGGAGATGACATTTCAGAGACACTAAAGCTCTTTTTTATCAGCCCAAATTCATCACTTTTATGATTATTAGTTAATTGCACACCAAAAAGCTTCAAGCTTTTATGGCCATTTTGATTGATATTATCTCTCACTGGATTTTTGCAAGTTCTTGAATTGTGGCCTGTGTACCCACATTGTGAGCATCTTCTCATGATTCTATAATTTAATAATGAAAACAAAAGAAATAAATTATAAGGGTTTGTGTGATGGCACCTATATATGGTTTATTACTTATTAGTGTGTGTCAAAAGTTTGTGCATGTGTTTCATAATGTAGGTGATTGATGACATTATTATGTGTTGGTTTTGAGTATTTATATAAAACTTAAATTTTTGTGAGACCCATAGACTTTATTAACGAAAATGTATACTTATATAATTAAATATTATATTTTTATTTATATTTTTTTTTGTAAATATGAAATTTACTAATGAATACACATATTTGTACCAAGAGAGTGCAGCCAGCCTAATGGTTAGAATAATAATAATAATAATAATA